GTGCAGTGTGGTAGGTGTGTAGTTAAGAGATTGTCATAATATTCCACGGAACATCTAGCATCGTGACGTTTATTAATGTCCGTGAATTGTAGATTTTCATGGTTAATACAGAAAATTTCCTGGTTAAGGAAGGTCAGGACATGGAGAAAAATAGCAGAAGTTACATACTAATTCAAATAAATCCCGACCTCACCGAACACAAGTCAGTCGACCATCCACTGACTGTAGCCGGTCGGTTCAGGTTTAATAATGCAAGAATGATCGACAGTAATTTAAATTTGGCACGTCGAGATCATGGGCGCATTAGTTGTTTTATGCTAACCGAATTGGTTCTTGAATTATACACGATGTGCGGCCATCAAGTATCCCAATTGCAATAAGTTCTAAGTTTAAAGTACGTTTCAGACAGTTGCCTGTGTACCACTGTTTTGCATCTAAACTGAATAAAGTGGATGCATCTTTCAATGAAGTTCACATTTATGCGTGCTTTCGTGAATACAGTAGGCTAATTAACCTTCGTATTCCATAAAAGGTGGCACCTGTTCGCGACTATGCAGCGGATGACAAACTTACGGTCCATGAAACTTTTTTCCAGATATTATTAATAACAAGGAACGTAATTAATTGTTACGCTTTTACACATAGATTACAAAGTGTGTTTTACTCTCAACGAATTCTGCGTGTGTATGGAAATGTAGGTTTTGGTGGTCCTAGTACACGTTTTACTGGAGTAATTTATTTTCTGTACGAATGGATACGTGAGCAAGGACCGTTGTTTGTTTCGAATACGAATTTCATACTGATTTACTCTTGTTGTGTGAAAACTGGAGGGTGATAGCTGTATTTTAGTTAGCTCTTGAAATTGAGCCAGCGAAAGAATACGCAAAGTGAATCTTGCAATCAGGAAACAAACGGGCTCTTTTCACAAAATAATTGATTCTCTTGCGTTTGAATGGGGAAATTCCAGTAGGCCATAGCCTAAGAGCATTAATATTGAACAAAAGAAACGTTTCGGAACAAGTTGGCGTATTTACAAGTCCAACTGTCCCTTATTTCCGCGGCCATCATCGTAAGTGTCACTTAACTGTCGCCATTACTCGAGGCCACGTCCGTCTTCAGAGGAAGATGAAATGGCACGCACGGAATCTCTGTAGCGTGAAATTACAAGTTTGTGATAGCCGTGGAAAAGAAACTTGCATTAACGGAGCGTTTGTTCGCCCTCTTGATGCTCGTGAAACAAACCCGAAAGTACAATATCAGCAACCTGTCCTTGAAAAGTCACTGCTTCGAAACTCGAGCTGTCTGCGTTGATCCATGACGTGTGTTGTTGAAACGTTTATTTCGTAGGATTTGAGGTTTTCACGGCTGTGAGTCCGAAGATCGTTGTCTTCTGGGTTGCAGCGCGTGTGGTCTGGTAGAAGTTTACCAACGTTTCAGAAGTATATGCTGCCTCATCGTCTTGATGATGGAGGCAGAAAGGACCTCTGAAACGCTGGTAAACTTCTACCAGACCACACGGTGCTACAACCCACAAGACAACCGTCTTCAAGCCATTATTTAATTTACTAAAATATTTATAATGACTTTGGGATCGTGGAGTAAATAATAAGTACATAATTATATAAACAAATTGACGAAAACACAGTTTTGGTTCTGTAGAACATGTATTTATTATGTTTGTTTAGTGTACTTATAATCGGGAGTGAGAAAATCGATTTGGCCCCACTTCCGATTAATTTTAACACGTATCTTAACGTCGAAAATCGTGAAAAAAATTAAAATTCTACGTGGCCAGGTAAGATGACTTAGAGTGTGGCCGATTTTGCTCATTATTTTTGCAATGACAAATTTATAGCGTAGTCTCGCGATTTCCATGAGTCTGATCGCAAAATTGCTGCGATGCGAGTATCCGAGTGACTGGTCCATACACTTACTTTTAATTAGCGGCAAGTGCTAACGGAGATCTGTTATACAGATATTCGGTACACAAGCATAATGCAGATAATATGCAAATAATATAAATTAGTGCAAGTGTGATGACTCTGAATGATAATCTTCCTTTTGATAATCAGCAAACGGTAACCAGAAATAAAGTAAACATGATCATAGTTCTAAATCACTATATGGCAATTATAATTGGAATATATTTTTATATCCCAGGAAGTTGCTAACTTGTTAAATAGAGCAGTGATATTCAACCTGGGGTACGCGAAGACATCTTAGGGGGTACGTGAACTTTTTAAAAAATATATATTTTTTTATGATAAACACTGAATAATCAGTAATGTAATTTATTTAATTTATTTTAGATGTAGATTATATACTATGTATAACTTGAATTATACACCAACAACTTTGGGGGTACAAAGTTAAAAAGAAATTATATCTGGGGGTACGCGAACAAAAACGGTTGAATACCACTGAAATAGAGCAAGGCAAACCGATGCTAAGGCATGAATCTCGTACTTTCACGACAAAGGTTGTTACAGTCCTCCCGCGTTACTGCCAGACACCCGGAGGAAACCTTGATAATGCATTTCTGTTCATTTGAAGAACAATCTCCCGCTAAGTTTCATGCTTTGCACCATGTTGTCAGTCGTCTGTTACGTACGGGAGTTGGGGTTCATTTTCCCTGAGGTTGCTTCTAATTTCCGGTTGCCAACACTCCGAGGCCACATCGACGGTCTCCCAAGACCATCTACTTATTTTTGTTCGTGCCAGCTGTCTGCATGTTCGAGTGCCAATGCAAACTAAGTTTTTATTATGGGGTCATGAAATATACTTATTTTATATCTGATAGGCAATAAGCAGGACAGTGAAGGTGAAACAGTGATGTTGTGGACCTATATCCGGTTTAAATTTCGACCTTTACACCGGCTACTAATTTAGTTTTCGTGGCCTCCTCATTTTCTCTAGGTAAATGACATGAAGGTGTCTTAAAATAGACCTCGACGACATATCATTATATGCTATATAGTCCTTCAAATTGAAGTAACGTCAATAAATAAGAAGCAGCCATTGAATCCTGACAAAAACTGAACACTCTAATTGTTAACGAATTGTGTTCAGTATCTCCTGAGAACACAGATGTAGTTCTTTGTTAAGATCAATAGGCAGAAACGCCTTGGGGTGTTATTAAAACGTGTTATTTCATTTAAGCAACAAACATGGCTCCTTTTCATGACACAACAATAAAACTATCTCAGTTCAATGTACTGTTGTGACATTCTGTTTGATAGTCATTGTCTGATGGTGTTTGATAAGAGGATGTTGTTGAGAATGTTTGCAATAAAGGGTCAGAAAGTGGCAGGAGGATGGAATAAGTTACACGATGAGGGGCGTCATAACCTGTACCGTTCACCAGGTATTAGACTGGCCATATCAAGAGGGATGCGATGGGCGATGCGTGTAGCACGCACGGGGGAGATGGGAAATGTGTACACAGTTTTGACTGGAAAACCTGAAAGGAGGAGACAACTTGGAACAATATGTGAGAGTCTGAATGAACAGTCATGCATGTTTCTAGAACTGTCTTACGCGTTCTTCATAGACAATTATACGGAGACAATGATTTATGACATATTTTGAACGGCGAGTATAATATCCGAGAAGTCCCGACAACGAACTGCTGGCAAGTAATAACGAAGATGTGTTATTAATATCGCTAAGTAATAATTCTTTTGTCTGGAGAGATGTCAATTTTGTACTAACGCTTTTAATTGTATGTGACGTATTCTATATCCAGCACTGCGTGTCTTGTTACGTAAGGGAACTGTCCTGCCTAGCGGAACAACGCAAGCAAGTACCAGCAGTGGTAGGTTGTGTGTCCAGCGGGAAATTTGACGATCTGCACGCACCATTGGACGTTGACTTGTGACGGCGAATCGTTGGCACCACTGCAAAGTTTGGCGCCGGTGGTTACGTATTTTGTCAATGTTAACATCTAGGGCCATTTCTTGTTTAATCAAAATTGTTTAAGTTTTATTTTACTACGTCTGAAACATCTTGGAAGGTACTTCATTTTGGATCGAACGAAAGAACATAGAAGAATGGAGACGACAGAAATGAATTCTTCTCAGATAGGCGCATGATACGGAAAGACGAATCAAACCCAACGCAGACACAAAGACATTAATTTTTGAAACCGTCCAAGTCCATTAAGATGACAATGATGATGATAGATGCTTATGGGTTTGTCCATATGTGTCGCTTTTTCCCTGCGAGGTAGGCAAGGAACATGACCACGTCGTTATTATTCTTTTTATAGTTAGTGACATTCCTACTGTTATTCTTAGGTTATTGTTATTCCTGTTCTGTTTTTCCTATTATTATGTCTGTTGTTATTAATACTGTACATATATGTTGAGTTAATTTGTTTGTGTAATATTGTTCATTATTATTTTATTATTGTTGTATGTATTATCAGTGTTTGCTGTTATTGGCTTCTTGCTGTTAGCAAACACTTAAATAAATGAATTGAAGTTCTATAATTGTTATTCCCATTGTTACTTTTACTCTGTTGCTATTTTAATTTCTTTATGTAACTCCTGAGGTTTTACCATCCAGGCCTGAACACCCCTGTGCTTACACAATCCTGGTTGCAAATTTAGTGCAAGAATGGCTTGCTCTCACTGTTCGAACACAATGTTGTGCAACAGTGATTTACGTGATGTGGTTCGAGAACACATTTGGAATATCAGTGTACTCCAAGGAGTACATATTTCCAATCGTGTTTCCTTTGAAATATGTTTAGAAATTGAATATAAACTCAAAACACCAGAAAATGCACTTCGTTCTGTTGTTCACTATCACTAGCGTTGTTTCCTGTGCCACATGATATGACTCATTAGAATTTGTAGTCGCAGTTTGTGATAGCTACTATCTTTCTTGACTGTAGGTAAGTTAGTATAAATTTTGTACTTGTAGATGGTAATAAAATAGCTTTGATAGAAAAACACAACAGAAAGTTGAAGTACAAGGTATGTTCTTCAATTTTGCAGGTAGCAGTTGTGACAGTATAGCTGTTGCACTCCCAGAACTAGAGAAATCTGGAACTGATGAAGCTAGATGCTCCAGAAGAGGACTCCATCATTCTGGTGTCGGAGCTGTCGCAGGTGGCGGCGATGGGAGCAACGCAGGAGGTGGAGACGATGGGAGTGGCAGCAGGTCGGCAGTCCACTGGGTGGCGAAGCGAGCGCGTCGTGGTTGTACTCGCAAACTTTTGCACAAAAGAGTTCCAATCCTTAGCTGGCTTCCTCAGTACACTTCTCGTGCGGCCATTTCGGACATGGTGGCCGGAGTTACTGTCGGTCTCACGGTTATACCCCAAGCTATTGCCTATGCCAATGTCGCTGGATTACCTCCACGGTATGGACTGTATTCCGCCTTTATGGCCTGCTTTGTTTATACCATCTTTGGCTCCTGTAAGGATTCTCCTGTGGGGCCCACAGCCATTGCTGCCATTCTGACACGAGAGAACCTCCATGACCTGGGTCCGGAGTTTGCTGTTCTTCTCTGTTTTCTCTCAGGCTGTGTAGAATTGGTAATGGGAATACTTCAGCTAGGTAAGTGTGGTTTACCATGGTAGAGTATCATGTTGTACCTGCATTCTTATGTTGAACATAATGGCCAAGTAGTTGGCACTCCTTGTGTTCAGACATACCAGATTGAAATCTAAGTTTGGAGGCCAGATACCCACATGTCTTTGGTCATGGTAGAAACATTTTCTTTGTATTAAAGCTGGTAAAATATTTTTTGAAGTATGTAAAATGTTAGGCCAGATGTGGTTACTGTAGCAACGTTGCTTGTATTAATTTATTGGAAGTTTCCACTTAGAATTGTTGATCGATGTCTAACTTCAAGACGGTGTAAGTCAGGTAGGGTGTTATGAATGTATATTGAAGTTAACTAAGGAGTCTGAAGTTATTATAAAGACTATAGAATAGTGTGACATTCACATGTTTGTAGGGATAACAGTTATACAAATTAGTAAGAAAGCAAGAAAATATACTTGGAAAAAATTCTAGTTGTGGTCTACTTCGGATATCCGCAATTTTTATAAATGAAAGTTAAAGAAAATGGGTTTAAGAATAATGGAATTTTCATATATAGATTTCATTGTTTAAATGATATTTCATATGTGATGTAGGTAATTTCATGTGACAAAGGTGGACAAGTATACTAATTGCTGTGCTTTGGAATCCTGGAATATCCATCATTCAGCTTACCATGCCACCATTGAACTGTCATTTGTTTGAGTCCCTCAAAAATTCTTTAAGATGATTATGATATACTAACAGCCATGAGCTGCAGGGGATGAAGCATGTGTAGTCTGCCACATGACTCAAAACAGTTTTTTCTGAAGTCATATAAAAGCTTGTGCATTGCTGGACTAAGTATGTTAAAACATCAGAGGAACATTAAAAATGACACATGTGATTTATGTATTGTTTTGTTATTTTAGTAATTACATAATTAATACTTTTTTATTTCCTTATTTGGAACAAAAATTTCATAAAGGAAGTCAGTGGATTTTGTGACTTTCATCATTAGTGTGATGAATATTAATGCTTGTACCTCCATAATCTGTAGTTATAATCCTGATTAGAAATTTCATTTTCTCAAGTCTGTCCAGGTAAAATCTGGCATAGTCTTATGAAGTAAATAGTCCTCACAGCTTGAAATTTACCAGCATTGTGAGGGGGGGAGTTAAATTATTTAATACAATTTAAAAATGTGATTATGTAGTATGTCTTCATTACGTTTGGTCACATCATTATCAAGCAAAAATGAAAAATGTACCCACCCAATGAAGATACTGACAAATCGTTTTTAATAAAATATGAACATTAATTGTTATTTCCTAGTATAAAATAAATATACTCTAATTTTCAGGATTTCTAATTGACTTCATCTCAGGACCCGTATCTGTTGGTTTTACATCTGCAGCAGCCATCATTATTGCTACAACACAAATTAAAGATGTTCTAGGCCTCAGTTTTCCTGGTAGCAAGTTCCTGGATGTTTGGGAACAGTTGTTTGAGCATATCTCTGAAACACGGCTATGGGACACTCTCCTTGGTTTTATATGTATGGCAATTTTGCTTCTTTTAAGGGTAAATATATAATACAATATAATTTATAAAGCTATCATGTATGTCATAGCAGATTTTGATGCCATGTAGTGTTATAGATAGTTACCAATGTTTTGGATAAAAGCGTCACCTCCATCTTGAAGGTAGAAACTGAAGAACATTGGCCATCACCCTTATAAGTACACTGTGTCACAACCCAGAATACTGCAGTCCAATTACTTGTTTGAGAAATCCCCAGGAAGTTTTTTCAAATCCACATTTATTTTTCTGTTTATGCTATCCAAGATGGCAGTTGAACTGCATGAACATGAACAAATGTATGATGTGGCATGTAGTAAGAAATTCTGGCCAATAAGGAACATGATCTGTTGTTAGCTGAGAGTAACTGATGAGCATATTCCTTCAGATGCTAGACACAGATTACCTTGGCATGATTTTACAATCAATAGTTATTCAATATAAAATACTAGAGCATTAGAAAGTAATGCATCACAGTTGGATTCTAAATCTATGATTTATTCTGATTATTTTAATTTTAAATTAAAGAGCTCATGTGACACCTATTTGACATTTGTTTCTTCACCAAAACCTGTTATGAACTGGAGACCCTATGCTTGCTCTGAACTCTACACCCTGCCATGTGTAGCAAAATATGCATGTTGCAGCATAAATACTTTTTTCATTCAATGTAATGTAAAATGTACAATCTTTGAACATACAATCATTTTGTCTGAGAAATGAAGTGTGGGTTCAGACTTAACATTTATCTTTCTTCTATTACAGAAAGCAAAAGATATCCCTGTGGGTCCAGAAGGTACGAAGATCCAAAAGGCTGTGAGTCAGTTCCTGTGGTTTATCTCTACAGCACGGAACATTCTCGTGGTGGTTGTCTGTGCTGTCATGGCGTATCTCTTTGAAGTCCATGGCTCACAGCCGTTTGTACTTACTGGTGTTGTTAAGCCAGGACTTCCTCCATTCCATCCACCCCCATTCTCAGCTCAGGTTGGCAACCACACATACAACTTTCTAGAGATGGTTTCTAATCTTGGTTCTGCAACATTCGTCGTCCCTTTGCTTGCAATTCTGGAGAACATTGCTCTTGCAAAAGTGTTCGGTAAGTATTCTGATGTCAGTTTGTCTCAAATGACTCCATGCAGCATAATCAGTAACAAGTTTATAACTGAGACTTAATCTTCTGGTTTCTTGTGTAGTGCTGCTTCATGTAAATCTTCAGACAGAATTTCAAATTTTGGGACTGTTACCAGTAACATCTTGCTTATCTATTATTCATACTGCAGCACACAAGTAAATGCCTGGGAAACAAGTGTCTTACATATACAGATTTAGTCTTAAGAGATTTATATAAATTCTGTCATGCACTATCAGATTCTCTCAGTATATTTTGTTCATAGATAAAATATGAAATATACATAATTTTTAATTTGCACATAATTTACATGATGAAATACAGCATAGAAATTATAATAATTTCAGGTGCGTGGTTTTCACCAGTTTATACACAAACAGTGAAACATTGAAACCAATAAGAATGATAGCAACGAGACATACCGTTCTTTATGGGACAAGTGATGGCCAAATATTGCTTTGAATAATTATGCCATGAAACTGTTATGTATTATCTCAGTACAGTAGAACTATTTGCCTGAAGTGTATATGGTTATTGCTAATCCATGAGAAATTAAAATTATTAAATTAAATTTATATCTTGGTTTCTGCTCCTGCGATATCTCTTAATATTTCAACAGAGATCATTGTTCTGTATAACCTATACAGCTTTAAAAGAAAACAGTAAATAAACAATAATATGTTTATTCTGTTGTAGCGGAAGGAAAGGCCATAGATGCAACCCAAGAGATGCTTTCCATAGGCATGTGCAACATTCTGTCTTCCTTTGTTAGTTCCATGCCAGTGTCTGGCGCACTTTCTCGTGGAGCTGTAAACCATGCCAGTGGTGTTGAAACAACATTTGGTGGTGTCTACACTGGTAAGTGAGTCTAAACTCATTTGTCTTGCAATTCATATTTATTTTTTACAAATTATATAAAAGCATTAATTTCTTTTTTAAAAAAACAGAAAATATTTAGCTGTATGCACTCTCAATACAAAACCTCATCTTAATTTCTGTAGATTTGTCTTAAATCTGCCAACACCTCCATTTCTTCTGGACCATGTTTCAGGTATCCTTGTGATTCTGTCTCTTCAGTTCTTCACTCCATACTTCTATTATATTCCAAAGACATCCCTGGCTGCAGTCATCATTGCTGCTGTGGTGTTTATGGTTGAGTTTCATGTTGTAAAACCAATGTGGAGAACAAAAAGTAAGTGGTTCTATCATCTTTAATAAGTTTAGCAGTTACACAATGAAAGAAGAGTTGCAACTTAAGAAATAACAATAATATATATTATAAGCAATTTGTAAAATCAGAGGTCATCATGGCAGCTAGCATGAAGATGGCCGATTTATGAGTTTTTGTGATGTGTAGTCTGGTAGAAGTTTACTGATACTCCAAAGGTGCTTGCTGCCTCCTTCATCAGGTAAATCATCCTAAATGTCAGTAAACTTCTACCAGACTACACATCACAATAACTCATAAATCAGCCATCTTCATGCTAGCTGCTCTGAGAAAGAGAAAACTAGCAAAAGTACTAATTGTTTTGAATCTGTTGAAAAAGTTCATAATATTTTTTTATGTTATCACAAATAGCTCATACATCATATAGTATGAGACACCTGATTTAGATATATGGGTCCTGTACTGTAGTTCTAACCTGTTGTGCAAAATGCCACTACAAAAACTGGGAAGATTGTGAAAACACAATTGTGTACTTATAAATCGTTATAATGTCCATTTTGGTCTTCCCACTAGCTATGCCATACAGTAAAATGTATTTCTTCCTATTTGAGGAATGACAGAAATAAGCAGTATATTCCCAAATGTCAACTCATATTTTTTAATATATGGAAGTTACATGTTCCTTGAAGACATTGTACTATAATATACAATTGCTCTTATTTTTCAGAACTGGATCTAATCCCTGCATTTGCCACATTTTTATCCTGCCTCTTCATTCGCTTGGAACTTGGAATTGTTATTGGTATAGGCATTAATGTTCTGTTCTTGCTATATGCTTCAGCACGACCAAGTGTTCGTGTAGAAAAGGCCTTAGTGAGTATAGACTGAAGAATCTTAATTACCCTGTGTGTGAACAAATTGCTAGGAATACAGATTAAATTTCTGAAATTTTAATGGTTTAGTTTTATAATTTCTTTTAGGTATACCGTAGTGAGTGAGTTGATATTAAACATTCATAACTGTCAATCACGTTGCAGTGACCAGTAACTTCTCCATAGCCGTACTTTGTTGCCTTAAATGTGACTGGATGAAAGATGAATTACTTTGTTAGGCAACAGATATAGTATAATTAACAGGGAACTTCAACTGATTTAGTTATGAAATCTTCATCAATCCTAGTTTGAATTTTGAGAAGACATAACCAGCTGCTGTATGTGTGGATCAGTAAATCTGAGAACACTGTGTTAGAAGCTGAATGTATTTTCAGAGCTCATCTGGTTGTGAATATCTGTTGATCACGCCAGACAGAAGCCTCGTGTTCCCGTCTGTTGAATATGTGCGCAACGTAGTGTCAAAAGCAGGCATGAAGCAAGGATCTAGTTATGTGCCAGTCGTGATTGACAGCAGACACATTCAAGGTGCAGACTTCACTGCTGCTAAGGTAAGCAACAAAGGGTTCCTGAAGCTCAGGGAAAGTGAGTGAGTGTCATGATATGAAATAAAATGTGAAGATTTGTACTGATTTTGATCAAACATTACTGTTACATGGTTAGCAGTCCTGCCTTCAATTTGTGAGGTCCCAGTTTCGAATCTTAGCCCAAAGACTGGCTATCCTGGCTGAGGTTTTTAATGATTTTCCTCAATCCCCCAGCAAATATGAAGATAATATACTAAATTAGGCCATGCCTGCTCCCTTTTATATCCTTCCAGATTTAGATCTTATTGTTTATATAATTTTTTTGGCAGATATACAGTCTTAATGAGATGGGCGGGGCATGTAGTGCGCATGGATGGGACAAGAGGTGTGCACCAGGTGTTGGTTGGGAAGCCTGAGGGGAAGAGACCGCTGGGGAGACCTAGACGTAGATGGGAGGATAATGTCAGGCGGGATCTATGGGAGATAGGAGATGAAAGAGACTGGATTTTGTTGGCCCAGGACAGGGTCCGGTGGAGGGCTTTGGTTAATTTGGTGATGAACCTTCGGGTTCGGTAAGCCATCTAGTTAGTTAGATATACAGTCTTAGGATGTGAAGTTTAAACTTCATGTACATTCAGGGAAGGTCATTACAAGTTGAAAATTAGGATTAATAATTTTGCCTGTTCTCAGTATGGGTGTTTAAATTGTTAACAGTAAGGATTTCTGAACGTGTGAAGCCAACTATAAGCATGCTTGGAATGTTTGGCAGCACTGCTGAGCAGACACTTGACACATTGCATACAGCTAGCCTAGTGTTATTGTGATGTTGACATTGTAAAAATATATATGTATGCTAATAAAGGGTATGTGGGTATCAATTCTCTTTATGGAATCTACAGTAGGATTGTGGCAGCAGCTGTCTGAGAATGAGAGATGACTCCCAGACTGGTGAACATATTTTATGGTAGAAATACTACCCTTGGAGCAGTTAGTTTTGAAAGTCTTTTTCCTTGGGAGAAATGTTTCTAAATTTTCTTAAATATTCAGCGGTTCTTGTTCAGGTATATCTAAAAGCTTTATTTTTCTCTTATACAGAAGTACAGAGTTTAGGAATTAAATTCATCATATGGCAGTTGACTTGGACCATTAGATGAACAAAAGATGGATTTAATTTTCCTTTTCTTTACTGGTTAAAAAATCTGTGTGAGTTGCACTGAAACTTTCAGAATGAAAATTACAAAATGTAACATTGTGGAGACTGTGGCAATGGGTTGCTCAAATACAGTTTAAGTGAATGACTAAACTAGTCACTTAGAATTAAATGGCCAGAATTCCAAGAAACCGATAAGGGCTTTCAGTCTTTTCTACTGTCTCATTATATACCCTGAAACATGATTAATATATTATTGAAAGTATAACAAGCATGCAACTATTTATGGCTTAATAGTTTCATGTACCAGTATTTGTTGCTTTCCTGTTCCAGGGTATCAAGTCTCTAATTGAGGACTTTGTGAAGCGGAATCAGCCCATCTTATTCTACAATCTGAAACCCAGCATAGTGGAGATCTTCCAAGGCGTTCAACCTAAAGATTTTAAATACTGTAGAAATGAGAGTGAGCTTAATGAATTGCTGAGGGGCAAACAGCGCCGTGCTACTGTGGCATAAAGGTGCTGGTAAAGTAGTTATTCATATTTTATTTTGGACTTTTGCATTCACCATTTTGGAATTTCCTATGATATTTAAATTAAAGAGGACACAGTGATTGAAAACTTAGTATTTATAAATGGCAGCACTGATGAAACTGCTTAAGGGCATAATAAGGATTCTTTTTTATAGATACTTAGAACAGTTATTACATGATGTGGACTTTGGAAGTGAGCATACTGCTTTCTGTATTGAAGTTAAAATACAACATCTGATAAACTCAGATTTAAATGAAGAAGGTATAGGAGGAATGTTGCATCATATGATTTAGCATTGTTCTTGTATAAAATGTTCAGGCTCTTGTGTTACTCTAGATAAAATAAATTCTTGCTAATATAACTTGACTTTGAACACATCTTGTAGTATAAAAGGCTGCTGGAACAGTAATTACTGTTTTCAGTGAAAGTTCAAACAGCATTATTATGTTTCAAGGGCTATAAAATAACTACAATAAATTCAGAAATTCAAATACGTATTACATAATCCTGAGTTTTATCTACCATTAATTATAATATTAATGTCACTGTTTATAGTGTGAATGAAGTGATGTAATTTAAATGTGAAATGACAATGCAAAAGAATATAATAGAGACAATAATTTGTAAGTGATATATATGTTATTATAGAAACTATCGTGTCTTGGCATGAAATTACACATGCTGTTTGCATACTACATTTTAAATTTATATAATATTTACTATGACATTTAAAATCTGAAGTAGACAATAGTCGAGAATGCAAGAAAGTTTGGACTCGATGTGTGTGACAGCAATGGCTAAGAAATTTGACTGGGATTTGAGGTTTGTATTTTGGAATGGATTTTAACTCTAGCATATCATAATGTTATGGTCAGTGTTTTAAGGTCTACAGAATAAATTCCCACTATTTTGTTGACATCAAAGTGAAAACATTATTGTCAGTATTGCCACTGTACTGTCATATTTTAAAAATTGAACTTTCCAGCTTTTGGTCTTATCATTTTCAGACACAATCTAGTGCCAGTAATCCAACATCTACAACAGATATGTATTGTTTTATTACTGTGTTGCTCTTTTAATGCTTAAACTAATAACAAAAATCAATTGTATGAGATGTACTGAATGTGGTTACAGGTGCACCAATTGTGTGACACAAATTTATTTTATGTCCACACTCAGTTAATGGCAAAACATTAACTACAAGAAGGAGCATATGTAGGGATGCAGATATTTTAAATTTAATATACCTGTATAAAGACCACAAATTACTTACTAATATGTATGGCAATAATTTGGTCTAAGGATGTTCTGTGATGCAGTATTTTATTTATTTCAGTAGTTTTATCTATTCTTTATACCATAGTTTATTACTGATCAGTACAAGATGGTGGAAGTTTGTTAGCAATGTATACTGCTGGCATAAGTAATAATTCTGTTCCTAGGAGGAAACTGTTATTGAGAGAAGACTTAATTTATATGTAGGCAACCAAAGTATATACTCAGAATGTACTATTATCTTTCATTTACAATATATTCCATGGTGAAATGCAACTTTTTTTTTGTTAGTAAAATTTTGTTAATATTTTATATCCTGATACAATTATTTACCCTGGTCCAGAAACATTGTTATTACTTGTTACTAATTTTCTGCAGTCCAATTCAAAATGGACACTTTCCATAAACTATTTAGGATAGAACAACAATATACATACTTAAAAATAGAGAGAAGTTTTATTCACTCAAGGTTTAATGTTGATGCTATACAATAAATTAGAAACACTGACATTCTGGTTATATTTTGTGAGGAAAGACTGTGTAGTCTGTGATGCAGCCTAAAATGGAAGAGAATTTGTGATATGTGGTCTGTGGATACTTATTATGAATGTGCTGAGTTGCATTCAATAAACTGTGTGTTTGGTTCACTGTGCAGTGTTAAGGCATGAGTGATTTGCTCAGGACTGAAGTTGTTGCAGATTATGATTGCTGGCAACACAATTAATATACTTGAATTATTTAAAATAATGCTTGATGTAGTATCTACAACTAGCACTGTATCATAAAGATTAAATAATGAATATTAATAAAATAAGTTATGCAGTTGTTTACTCTGGCTACTTTTATTTCCATTAGTAAAAACATTTAGCAAATAATGCCAAAAATGTATATCATTCACTTTTGTTAAAAGGAATATTTATATGTGTATTTGTTGTTTCTTTAACAATGCTGTCAGTATCTCAGATGGTCACCGAGGAAGTAACCAAGCATTTACCTGGAGGAGCTGAGGGAAAACATGAAAATTTCTCAAAAGAGCCAGGCTGTGGGTTGTTTTTTGAACCTGGGGACCTTCCAAGTACAAAGCAAGAGTGCTGACCACTCAACAGTGGTGTTCAACTAAAAAGAATAACTCAATATTGCAAATATGCAATTTGCAATGCCATAGAAAATTTACCTCAGTAAGTAACCTTGAGATGTAATATATTTCAAAGTCAGCCCATAATGGTTTAATTTGTATGTAAAACATTATAGGCTACTGTGCCATGTATTCTTCTGGCTATGTTCTGACATTCTGGAGGAACATCCTGCCTTCACTTTGGGAGCTGATGTGAGGATAGAGCAAATCCGATCAGAAAATAAGTTTCATCAGTGAACCTCCTCTCTGATGTGAGAAGGATTTAGTCTCATCATGAGTATGCTTATTGTTCTGCACATTAACAGATATAATATTCCTGGAGTGCATAACTGGTAAAGGGTATTGCCTCGGGATGTTAAGAAAACAGCAACAATAACTTGAAATGTAAATTCTCATAAAGTATTGGGTGACAGAAATACTATTTTCTTACAATTGATTAAGAGTAAATATTCTTTTTAATTACTATAGTTGATTGTCATCTTGAAACAAGACAGGAGATTAAGCCAACTTTATAACAAATCTTGCCTCTAAAGCTGACACTGATGAAGGATGGTGTTGTTTTCTTTGAGAAAATAGTGTTTACACTTAGTATTTCTTTTATTTTAATGTAAATATAAATGGGAACAACACACTGTATACCAACAGTTGAGGATGTGAATGTTTTGTTAAATTTGGTGCAGACAATATGCTGTATTTTAAGAAACCTTCTAGCTCCATTATATTTGTATGATTGCTTATAGCACTTATTTGCTTTATGTATTCTATGTATTTGGCCACATTGAAAGATATGTAAAATATTTCAAGGATTTAATACTGGCATTCACACAAAAAACTTAGTTCAGTTTTTTTTAAAACTTTTTTAGTCAATGTTATTCCACATTTCTAAGCTTATCTGGATACAGTAATGTAAAGAGAGCATCTGAAATGCTGACATTTCTCCCATCTTCATGTCTAAATAGAATGATCCAAGCGTGTATACAGAACTAGATGACTTAGGAAACATTCAGTTGCATCTTTGATTGTTATCAAAGCATACTTCAGATTCAGAATTTCCAGACAGACAAAATGTGATAAATTTTTTTCAGTATATAGCATATATCTGCAACAAATTTTAGTCTCTTAATCTTTACATGATCTGAAAGAAGTAGATAATCCTATACTTTGTAACTTAACAACACATTAAATCTAGTTAAACTAAAAACTCTAAGAAAATTAACAAATTTATAAATTTCTCTACTGTATAAAATTTAAATATCTTCTCGTATTCTAACAGTCTTATTATTTGGACTTACATCATAAGTATTTATAAAATTTCTAAAGCAAGTAATTAATCTTTGTCATGTAGCTTAAAAATTAATTCCTGAATCATGTTTCTAAAGGTCATTTGCAGCATGGCATTCACTACGTTTGTTAATCTGCTAGGGACACAAACACAGACCATGAACCTTAAAAGAAAGCATCATGCTTGTTGGTTTCAGAGCCAATTAATTTTGAATATTAAAATGTCTACAATTTGTTATGGAAACTTGGATTTTAAATTCATAAGTACTGCTTTCTCCCCATTATACAGCAATAATATAGCCATACTCAGAGGTAACTAAATATTCTGAACCTGAAGGACCAACAATTCAACAGGACTATAACAATAATCAATAATCTTTTGCTGTAGCCCTGTAACTTCTCTTCTGAATTCACAACTCTGTAATAAGCTGATGTCTGGTTCTTAATTTGATATATTATGGTGAAAGTAGCACATTACAGCAGTATTAGGACAACTGTATCTAACTATTACCTTGAGATGAATGTACAACAATATATTTTAAAACAATGATATAACCAATACCTATTTCTGTACCCCTTTTTTTACTTGAGCATTGGATGAAGTTTTCCTTCATTTTTCCATGCCTGTGTAACTCTTGGGTGCAAATTTCTTATGGTTCAGAAACATGAATTATATAAAAATTATAGGTTACGTCAGCAACCACTGGAAATATGTGATAAAATATAGTTATTAAAAATTATAATAATGAATTTAGAAGGTATTATTGTTGTAGGAAATTATACATTCACAATATGGGACCAGTAAGCATTGTTTCAAAAGGTAAAAAAAGTGAAACACTTTTACTTTAATTCGAAATTGTTATATAACCAACTTTTTCAGTTGTGACTGACTGTAAAGGAAAAATCTGAATTCCAAGGTATGTAAATCATATTATTTTGCTTAACATATTGTTCTGTGATCTACTTATTGTGCTTGTGCTCCAGAATGACTGATTTTTTTGAAAAGAATGTTAAAAGTTATTTTCATCTTTCTCCCTCAAAAGTATAAGTAAAAGCATTCGTCATTTCACTTTCACATAATTTAAAACTCATTCTTCTTTCTTTCTAAAAACATGAGGCTCACATAAATAACTTTCATAAATTCTTTCATTACAAGAACTGGGTAATTCACCATTTGTTAAGCAAGTAGGTTTATATGTAATTTACAATCCAGCTGTATCTTACTATATACCTAATTTGTCTACCGCGAACATGTGTGTGTGCATGCACATGCATGTATGTACAAACACACATTTATGTAGAACAGAATAAAATGTATATACATTTAGAGAGTTATGCTTCTATATTTGCATACTGATTGAACATTCTAGTTTATTTCTTCCCATTGTAGATGAAAAATAATCTTCATGTGCATCTATGATAGGAATGAGCAAACTATTGCTTATAGGCAGAATGTGTCCCTCGAGACAAAACTGACTTACATATTAAGAACTTATAAAGTAAGTAATGAGGGACATCTCAAGCCATCAGTACTGATTGTTTCGTATGAATACTTCCTCTGATCCAGCCTAAGAAAGTATCAAAAGTTCTTCAATCTGGCTTAAATACCAAAATAAACTCCCCTTCTGTTCATTCTGTGTACATAGGTTAGTGGTTGCTTTTCACACACTAAATTCAGATCATTACTGTGTGGTGATAACTTGCTGAATTCTTTTATATAAAGAAGGCAGTTTCTTAGGAAGTTTCCACACTTCTTTTGGACTAGCCTGTGCCTCTCTTTTTGCAAATAAAAGAGACTGTTGATAAAGTCTTCACCAGTATATTGTAATTCCCATGGTGATGACTGCACCATTTAGGTCATACTGCATTCTTTACACCTGAGGACATTTATCTCCTTAGCAACAAAGTTTCTTTGTGTGGGTTACCCAGTGGTTACTATGCTGATCTCATTCCGAATTCGATTCTCTTCTGTGAGCTTCTTGTGTGCTATTGAAGAAACATTTTATGGAATTATTATTTACATATTAATATTATTACTATATGGTTTTAAATATTTACATGTTACAAAAATAGTATGCTAATATGGATAAGATAGAGAACTTGTTTGTTACAGGAACCTGAAGGGAAAGGGCAAACTTGTTCATGGGAGTAAACACTTACTAAAACTGTTAATGATGGGAGTACAGTCTGTCACAGACAGCACAATACAAAAAATGACATCTGCATGAGTGATGAGTAGAAGGGAAAATGGGTTAGCCTGGAAATTTTTAGATGGGTTTTCAGTTTTTTTTGTAACAAAAATTCATTATGCATGCAGAAGACTGGTATCAGTTTTTCGAATATATTAATGTGGAAATTAAAATTGAATTTTTGAGAAAATGAGCAGCTAGCATATATCATATAACTGTTAATTAACTGAAGAATTAGATCTAATTTGCTTCTTACCTCTGATAAGATTGTCAAGTTCATCTTCTGAATGGTAGACAACAAAATCTTTTGGTTGTAGCCCATTGAACACAGCAACCACACTGGGCTTAAGGTTATAAAAGAACAGTGGTTGCTTGCGTGATGAAAAGTCTTGTGTTAGACACTCTACAACCTACAATCAAACAACTTGAAGTCAGATATTTAGCTATAATGATGTATATGGTACATCCAAGTTCAAGGTATTTTATAACACTTTTCTTATGGGACGATCTCAAGATTTGTTATTGAATTTCCAATAATATAAAGTAGAAATAATTCAAAGAAGTTACCTAATATATTGTAATTAATAAAATCAGTAATATATAATATTCTAGAAATCTTATGACAAGGGTTAGTTGGTAAAATTAAATCTTCATATATATATATATATATAGTTGAAAAACAAAGTATAACATTTCCTTGTATTCTTTAATATTAGTTAACAGAATTTGATAAACTTTGTTTTATGCATTGTAAGTTTCATATGGTTCATTGCATGAATAGTGTGCAATATTATTTTGTCTATTTTAATAACATAAGGCACAGATCATTAGCAGTAATGGCTGTAATTGTTATTTTTACATAGAAATCAATTATCAATTATTGGTTTACCTTTGCAGCAGTAAAGTCAGCACCATAAATGTGTGAGCAGTCAATAACTACAGGAATTGCTTGCTTAATACTGTGCTTGGTCACCAAGTTACGCACATAGTCAACTGAAGGAAAGATGAGGCAGCGATCTGGAGTGAGTAACAAATACTCCACTCCCTCTCTTGTCTGAAATTATAAAATGCATTCATTACTACATTTTCCAAAATTGTATATCTGATATGGACCTGTGAGGTTATAGTAGCTTTCTACTGTATATTCAGGCCTTCTTATGATAGAGATTTATGTAGTAAGTTTGCTTTTGTGAAGACTATAAGGTCCTTTGAAAACAGTTGAATGAAGGATCATACGTTCCATACCCTAGATATAATATGAACTTAAACAGGAGAAATGGTGTATAATTTATTTTTACTTATTTTGACGATCTTAAAATTGCATTTTGAAGTACAGTCTAGAACGAAAAACTCTAAATTATATGTCTTCAATCTTTCTGAAAAGGTTACTGGTTATTAGGGATATTCGTTGTGAATTTCTGTCTTATTTGAAAATAATTAGTATTGAAATTTTTTAAAACAAGTTAAGAAATGTGTGGATAACATTACTATTCTGGTACATCTGTCAATATTTTATCTTTGAATTTTGTGAATGGCAAGGGAATTTCCCATGCTGAAAAATATGTGTAGATCTTCATGTAAAGTACCTATTATTTTTGTCCAATTTTAACCAAAATTTGAATGTGTTGACAAATTTTAAAACTACCAAATCTCAAATTTCATTAAAATTATGCACGTTCAGTCATTCTTGAGCTGTTACATGCAGATAGAAAGATTGACAAAGCAGTTTTAATAGGAGTTCTATAGGGATGCAAAGAAGCCTAAAAGGGGGAGGAAATTACAAAATTAAGACCCTTGTATCTTATTGATAGTTCTTGTCAAGTGAATTAGTCCAAGCAGTGTTTATTGTGGTAGCAGTCTGTTAGAGATTTACTGTGTATCTGATGTCAATACAATTTTCTTAACTCTTTGGAAGTAAAAACAATGGAGGAAAATTCAACTGATAATTTATTTGAGTAATTTAAATGTAGTTTTGTATCTACAACACTAATGTAATGAATATGGTACTTACCACTTGATATTCTATGGCTATTTTTGGACGAGCAGCATGATATAGAATAAATAAAATGTTGATGCCAATGCCCACCAGGATTCCAATCTCAAGTCGCAGAACAAGGCAAGCCACAAATGTGCCAATTCCCGGAATCAGATCACTCTCTGTGTAATACACAAAAAAGCAGCCAGTAAGATTGTTTCTGAATAGTGAGCTTTATGGTTTTTATTTTTTACCTAGTGGTGTCAGAATTATATACCAAGTACACATACCATTTCAGATCTTGCAATTAGATACATTAGTTATATACATTTTAATTTTCATTGCACATACAGAAGATTATGGCATCTAGCATTTGTATCAAATAATGTAATGCCAGAGGAAAAGCCTTGTTTAAAATAACCTCTTTTAGAGATGTTTTAAAATTTATATAGCATAGAATTTTGTACCAAAGTAAATCAAATAACTATGAATAGATTACGTCATTACAGGTGGCCATATAGATTCTATAATCTACAGCATGTGAACAAACAACATGATGTTTCTTTCTGTCATTATAAATCTTGCAAGAATAAAATAAATTAAATGACCAAAAGAAGAAGAATATAAGAGTATTTATTTAGGACCAATTTTGGAAGATTTCTGGAGATAGGCACTACTTCAGTGCCCTTGAATAGCCTAATATCTGTTTTTTTGTTTAAAGTGACTCGTATAATATGGCACTGCAGATCATTAGCATACAAAGCTGAATACATGAAAACTAGTATTTCAAAGAAAGAGATTTTATTGTATATCTTAGCGATGTCTCTTAAAAGCTGGCCAACGTGAGTTATGATCAAGCCCATACATTTGCATTTTTCTCTCTGTTAATCTGAAATCAAATGTGCTCTTTATCTTTTCTTTACGGATAGATAGATTTTGGTTTACGTAATGTTTTTGATTTGAAGAGGCACGTTTTATTCAAATTTTAAGTCATTTATTTCGATAAATTTCTACCAGACCACAATGAACAATGACAGTCATCTTCAGATTCGCAAAATTAACTGTTCTTGTGTAAGATTTGTGGTTGGGGGGGCGAAGGATTATTAAATTGTATGGTACTTATTATTATTATTGACTGAGCTCTCGGCACTGGAAAGTTGAAGGTTAACTGTTAGAACTGGATTCACCGATTTTTGTGGTACTTCTACTTCCTCGGATAGATGGCAAAACAATACAGCATGTCATGTCACATGTTGCCAACCATATTGGTAATAATCAGTGTTGACCGGTCTTTTCGTCTGTATTGAACACTGTGACAAAAATGACGTGGTGCAGTTAAACATTAAAGTTATGTGTGTCATTGAAAGGGAATGAAAACGGGCGGAGAGAATTGAAATTTCCATCCATGAATAACAGGTAAGCGATTGAAGAAAACAGAATAGAGTACTTGGAGAACCTGAAGTATCTTAACCTAAATACCGCAGAACGAACGTGTTGCCTTTAAAAATGGAAACATTTTTCTTTTTGGGGGTAAACGTCTCAAGTATGTGCGCTTTTCTTCGGAAATACAATTTATAATTCTGTTGAATTAGCAAACATTTTCCCTTCCATTTGGACATAATATTATATTTTTCCAGATCCGAATTTAGTGACAGGTTGGGTTAGGTTCATTTATTCCACATTAGTGTTTCCTTTGATTCTTGTCTTCATGTTCATGGGCATACACAGTTGTGTATGGGACTTTCCTTTGGAACTTCTGTTTGGCAAATCCACAAATGGCCAACAATAGTTTCATCATTCAGTGTTATGTGACTATTCAAATCTGTTTGACATATACTCACTCTTTGTTTTCCACATGGGTATTACAACATGGACTTCTACCATGAATATGACAGCTGCAATAATAATAGCTGCTAGTGCTGCCTTGGGTATGTAGAAGAAGAATTGTGTGAGGAACAGCAAAGATAGCATTACCAGTAAACCTGTGCAAATAAAATGTATAAGATAGAAAGTTTTCTGACAATACATAATCTCTCACAACTTTATTTTCTGTACATACAATGGCTGCTCTCTGTACTGTCTCAATCTAAAAACTACTGAGTTTCATATCTTAGTACGTTATCCCTATGTTTTATGAGGAAAGACACATGTTTTCTGTCTGTAACCTTTTTAAGAATTATCTGTTTCAAAAACCATGTATTTTTATTTCAAAGATTGAGGGTGTATGTTCATGTCTCATTTTCATACTACAGGACAAAATCTTTATATAGGGGCAGCAATTTTGTCACGTGAAGTGATAGGATGCTGGAGAAAATGTCTCTATAATTGTACTCTATGAAATATTTTTGAGATCCAGTCAAGGAGAATGAAATGATAAACAAATACCAAATTTTGATTGGAAAGCCTTAATACTTAGGTGTAGATATGTGAATTATATTGAAACAGATCTTAAGGAAGTAGGGCAGGAAGTTGTGGACTGGATTAATCTGGCTCTGACAGGATTGATGGTGGACTCTTGTGAACATGGTAATGAACTGTCAGGTTCCATAAAAAGCAGGGAATTTATTGAGTAGATGGGTATACCATCTGCTTGTCAAAGAGGATTCTGCTCTATAGAGTTAATTAGTTGTGGTTGTGGTAGTCAATTTGTCAGTTTTGTTTGGATCACAGTTTTCAGTGTTACAGCTACTAGCTTATAATGGTGAGGCCTTTCCAGATAAAATACACCCACAAAATGTAATGACAGCACTTGTGTTCTGATGCTTCTGAATCTCTGATTGTTGATATAGCACACTGTCTCTTTGTGGCATTCTTTCTGTTTATAGGTTTACAGTAAGGCTTAGAATATGTAGATCTGGATCTTAAACCTCACAGTTCTGTGACAGGAAAGTTTTGGTTTGTTTGTTTGTTTGTTCTGATGGTTTTATATCCCACATTACTGTTGTGGAGTGTTGTAGACAATTGTGAATATTATGATCTGAGCATTCTCTGTCTAATAATCAATATTTGAAGTCATATTCGAGAGACTTTCTGATTTATAAGTGGAATTCTGAGCATACCTGTGTACAGACCACCAAGTGGGGTTCGGACCCCACTTGAATTGTTAACTGCACTGCGAGATAGTGAGCCTGTTCCTGGAAATCCTTGCACAAGGGAATTCCCAATATTACATATTCCAATTGCTAGCAGTTCTTGAGTTGCATCCACAGGTTTTCCATTTGCTGTAACATCCATATAGCCAGCATAAAATCAGCCCATATTTGCGGTTTCCTGACACTTTACCCTACATGTAAGTCTATATTGGTCATTAGTGGCAACATGGAGTATGAGGCAAACTCTAGTAGCTTTCATCAAAACAGTATGATACTCACTGTATCTGGATAGCATGACTAGAATTTTACATTTATCTAAATATTCTGTATGGTATTATAAAATTTGGTTTTGGAAACACTTCTTAGCACCAAAAAGTTGTATGCTTACATCAGGCAAAAATAAATTTATTTTATGTGATGCTTAAATTGCACTTATCAGTTTTTCATAAATACACTTCATCATGCAAAAACTTGATACACAACATAAAGTGTAGTTCTAATTAAAATCTTCAAATTTTCTTTGAAAGAAATAATAAAATGAATATTATACCATACCTGATCTCATTTTATATATTTTGAAGTTTTTCAGAAGCTACAGATTAATAATATTAAACTTATAAAATATGCATAAGTTTTGTGTCTACATGTCAATTGTCCTCTCCAACATTATTTTTTAGCTAGTAAATACTTAAAGAGAGGTTTTGATACGTACAGAAAGCCTTGCAAATTGCAATGTTTTCCAACAGTGCCACAAGAGGAAGTATAATGATGCCGGTACCCAGCGTTGAACACATATCAACGAAACTGACTGTGTTGTTTGAAGTGCTGTCATAGAACTCAAACGGAGGGAGTTTAACTTCCGGAAGTCCTTTGGTGATATTTCCTATAAATATTAAGTTTCATGTATGAGATATATGAGGAGTGAATATGAATGAATGTTACCGAGACTGTGTAAGATTTTGCTTGGTATCCACATCTATGTACAAAGTAAACTGTTTATGGTCAATTGTAGTTTGTTGAAAAGTTGACATAAGTAGAAGTAGTGGTTAAGGACGTTGTGGTTTTTGTTTTCTGGTGATGGTTCTAGAAGCAGGAATATAAATTATGACATCTCTGCATTTGTAATTTCCCTTTCTGATTCAGCATGTAACAAGATTGAAACATACTGTGGTGAGAATTCTTTGTAGACAATGACAACACAAATACCCCAAATGAAATTTGATATTGTGAAGTTTTACTAACATTTGTTGATACGTTACAGTTTTTGTTAAAATCAAGTACCATTTCTATGTTACTTATTTATTTTTAAAGAATGTGCCCTGAGTTATGAAGTTGTTATAATGCGTAATTTGCATTTATATTATACTCACCTGTAAGTTTAATTGCATCCGTATTTTCAAAATGGTAGCCAATAAAACCACAGATTACTACAAGGATTGCATTTCGGGATGTACCAATGAGCCAAAGTGATTTGTTTATAACTCGGTGAGTTGAAGTCAATTGCGTCTCATCTTTAGGTCCCACTTTCACCATGGTCAGTAGCTGAAAAGAAGATATGTTCTTGTTTAATAGTTAGAGAAGTATAAGTGAGTGCAATGATCTTTCAAGTTCAGATTGAGTTTTTTTTAAGGAAATGCTTAAAGACATTTGGAGGAACTAGTGAGAGGATAATATTAAACTGTACCTCAAACAAAGAGGGTGTGGAATGCATTCATCCAGTTCAGGATTTTGTCTAGTGGTGTGCTCTTGTGAACATTGTAATAAAACATGGGCATCTGAGTGACTGTCAGCTTGACAAAAAGGATTCTTCCATGTTAGTTTCCTAAAAAAATTATGAAAAGGTGCATTGTTGGCTCAAGTGATGTAAGACAAGACCTGAATTTTATCTGTGAGGGAAGTATGGATGGAACTATATATAGGCTTATATTTTTGAGATCTATTATAATGGAGTATGAATCATTTGCATCACAAAAGTACAGAAGTCATGTAACTTAAGTGGGTTTGCAGCATAGAACATACTTGAGAGCTTAAATACATTTTATATTTCCAAAACTGCCTTTATAATATACAGCATTATGTTCAAATAAGAAAATGTATTGCATTTCTCAAAAATGGATCTTTATAAAACTTGATGAAATATCAAGCTTGTTAAGATCTATGGCATTCATTAGGAACATTTTTCAGCATGGTGAATATTTAACAAAATGCAAGGAGAATTCATTTCTGATTATGCGGTGTGATTAACTTCACAAAAATGAGTTTGTAAACTGCAATGTCATAACCTGAAGGCAATAATATGTAGAAACGAATGAGTACATCTGTGCATTATTGCTTCTTAGTGGTCATCAGCTACAAAATTTGACTTCATGAATCTATGCACATAAAATTAATGTATTTGTGATAAGTAATTTATTTTCAGTGCCATATATAAATTTCTTAAACAAATAATTTACACTAACAACTTCTCATATTTTATTTCTTTGTGCATGTCTTTACTTGACATTCAAAACTTTGTTCTTAATTATCAGAAAATTACAGGATTTGATATGTATAGTAAGGTTAAGTGCTGTTATTATTTTCAAGTCAGTAAACAGGGCTATGGAAAGATGAACACAACAAACATGTAAATAGTAATTCGTTCTTACCCTCATGAGGAAGAGAATTACAATGCAGGCTACCCCAAGGACTGTATCCCAGGTTCGCGTGTCTTTCATTGCATTAAATAGACTGATCCAGTTTTCAATGAAAGTGTTTCCTGATGCATTTATACCCAGTACATCTTTGACCTGTGATGTCACAATGATCAGGGCTGCTGCTGATGTGAATCCCGAGGAAACAGGGCCCGATATGAAGTCTATTACAAACCCTGCAGACACAATATCAACAACAAGAAGTGATTAACAGGGAGGCAAAAATTTGAAAACTTAGGATGATAGAAACTTAAATGATGAAAAATCAAATTTAGTAACACTAACACATTGTTATTATATTACATAATGGTAGGAAACTTGTTACGTGCCTTTATTTTTGCCTTCCTACACTGTTAGAATAGCAACCTAGATCTCACAAATGGCAGTGTTTTTAAATATCTGTGATTTATGTGTTTTAATACAACATTTTGAAGACTCTCTCTCTGCCTCCATCATCAGGGTTGATGATGGAGGCAGAAACAGTATCTGAAACTTTGGATTACAATGCCTTTCTCACATGGATGAGCACCCAGACTACATTACATTTAGTAATGAAAGCTACAAATCCTACATTGTGTTAACAAAGTTTGTACACTCACCTAGTCCAAGAATGCCCATTAGAAGCTCAATACATCCAGACAGAAAGCAGAGTAGGATAGCATAGTAATGAGCATTTGATCCAAGATTTCCAACCTGTTGGAATGTCAGTAGTGAGACAATGGCTGTGGGTCCCATAGGCACATCTTTACAGCTGCCAAACAAAATGTACAGGAAGCACCCCAGAAACGAGCCATACAAACCATACTGAAACAGAATTAAAACAAAATGCATCAAAGATAATTATGATATTTACTGAAATGAAGATAAAAGTGCATTACAGTTGTTTACAAGCATATCTCAAAGGCAAAGACGCCCTCAAAAATTATCAGACATCAGCACCAGATAGAGGCAAGTGGCCAACATCTTACTTCTGACTTGTTTACATCTTGGCATACCATCTACATGGAGTATGGACATAGCAGATTAACTTATGTGGTAACATGATTAAATTATATCCTGAAGGCACTTTAAAGTAAAATGCTTGCAAAAGCTATAGATTATAGTTAATGACCATGTTCACAAGAGCCTAGCACTGGTCCCTATCCTAAGCCTGGTCAATCCAGTCCACATCATCACATTGTATTTTCCCAACATCTATCTTAATATTATCATTTCATCTACACCTAGCATTTCTGAGTGGTCAATTCCCTTCAGACTTTTAAATAAAAATTGTGTATGCATTTATAATTTCTACCGTCATGTGTGCTACATGTCCCGCCCATCTAATCCTCCTTGATTTGTTAAAAGAATATCATGTGAAGAGTATAAATAATGGAACTCCAAGTTACGCAATTTTCTCCATCCTCCCATTGCTTATCTTCTGAGGTCTGAATTTTCTCCTCAGCACCTTGGCCTTTAACCATTTCTGTGCTAAGTTTAATTTATGAAACGAAATGCCTGTTGTGATTTTCTGCTGTGTACATATTTCAGCGTGTTTGTACGTTAAGTGGTAGAAAATTCTCAGATAACTTCAGCTGTCAACACGTGGTCAGAGAATTTATTTTCACTGATACTGTGAAAAAATTCTACCATTCACATTTCTAATTGAGATATCTCGTTTGTCACATGGAAGGTTGAAAAGTAATCAGCAATGATATTCTAATTTCAGGATGTTTTGACATACTGTTTCACCTTATTCACCTGAATGCTTTACGATCTAAATCATAACTCTGCGGGGAATAGTTTGTACAGTCAGTTATTATGATATAAATTAGACCACTAACTTTACTATCTTTCTGTGACATTTAAGTGAAATATGACACATTCAAAATATGGCTCTTTAATCCTTCGTGTCAAATTGTTTTATCTTTTCACAATAAGAAAGCTTAGCACTTTTAATATGAGTGAGACATACTGAAGGATGGCTGGAGATAAAGTCTTGACAACAGAAGGTTGCATTAGAGTATAAGAGCATAAAATTAATTGACAGTTAATTAATAATGCTAAAGTTACTTCATGCAAGATGGGTTTATTTTTATTCCTTGTGTATGAACAATTTTAAGTAGTGTTATGAGTACAGTTTTGTGATGTGAGCTGTGCTCGAAACAAATTTGACAGTTTTCAGACAATTTGTTGCATCTGTTCATCTGTCCATTCCTCTAATTGCATTACAGTTCTTACTAAAATTTATCTAACAATTTTTTGTTTTGTCTACAATGGGCAGGTATACTAATATATTGCATGAAACATAAATTTGGACTAATGTTTCACAGAAATACAAAATAATTCTTGATTTAATCCTCCAGTGAGCATACAATACTGTAATGTTTACCAAATTTGAAGAGATTTTGAAGCTTTATTATCGGCTACAATTTTTGGCGTATCGTTAGAAGAGTCATATATAATCTGAGTTCTGTACAGAAAGTGTTAGCAACTGTACAGAACTGATGAATGATACAAACCTCAGTGGGAAGGCCAGCAACATTGGCATATGCGAGCGACTGGGGAATAACAGTGAGCCCAACGGTGATGCCGGCCACAAGGTCACCAATTGCGTCCTGTGTATTGTATTTTGGCAACCAAAGGAGCACTGGCACACGTTTGTACAGTACTTTCTTTGTGAAGGATTTCTTGGCCTTTTCACGTATCCAGTTTACCAACTCCTGCCTACGACTTTGAATACCATCTTGATTTCCCACCACTGAAACAAATTGTTTTAAATGACATTGTCTGCGCTTGTAATATCACTTCCAAAGCACAGCATACAAGAAGTGGAGGTTTTGGCAAATGTCCAGTTTGTCATAGTACTTTCATACAGTTTTATCTGCATTTCTAAGTGTTGCGCCGTGTAGTCTGGTAGAAGTTGACCGACGTTAAAGAGATGCTTTCTGCCTCCATCATCAAGGCGATCGTCGATAAACTTATACTAGACTACACGTCGCAACATCCCAGAAGACCTTCATAAGAGGGGGGGGGGGGGGGGTTCACCCAGGATGAGGGCTGGTGGCAGGCTCTTGGAACACGGCAATAAACCTTTGGTTTCGTCATAAACGGCCGAGAATTTCTTGATTTGCTGAAGGATTGTTTGGCTTCTCAAGAAGCACTCAGCAACATGAAGTTATCTAGTTACGTAGTTTCGGACAGGCAGATGTAGATGGATATCGGTTGTTAAGGGGAGAGAGAGGATTCTGTGTCTGTTATTATTGTAACATTCGAACTGATTGGGGGTTTGAGAAGCGAAAAAGCGGACTTTGGTGTTCTGGATTGTGATCCTAGTGTAGTCTTGTACTATACACAGATTACATGATAAATTAATTTCCGTGGTTGGAACTGAGAGCGATTATCTGAAACCTGGAGGAACTGATAACGCCTCTTGAAAAAAATTCTCGTTTATTCTGGTATGAAAATCATAATCGACTCATTGTTAAATTAATGGAAGATAAGGTAATTTAATTTTGACGACTGTAAAGTATTATTTGAATAATACAAATTCAAACGATAACATGTATTTGCTGGCACACATTCATACCACTAATACAGCTAACTCCATGAAGCAGCAGAACCCTTTTTTACAAGCTGATAGTTGCTCAGGCAGTCAAGGAATTCCCTTCATTACGCTGTTAGAAAGACCCCGTTTAAATAGTGCACTTTTATGAAATAGCAGGGGAACCTAATTCATTTTTATGTATTTTGTGCGTTAAAAATCTTCCTAGCTGGAATCATTTTCAGGTACGTTCACAAATAGCAACATACATGGAACTTCATCTTAGAAGTAATTTACAAGTAAGAATTCGTTGAAGCAGAAGCCCGTCCACATAAAATTAAAATAATTATTTTTTGCTTTAAAGAAGACAACAAACATTAATCGGTTAATATTGTTGTTTAGGGAAATAATCGCTGTTAACTCTGATTACACGAAACAAATTCATAGACCGACGCTCTGTAGGCAAAATGCATTTACCGATTGCTAAAGCGGGTGGTACATACAGTTACTGGGAAGTGTTTTATTACTCCAACTAAACCCTTGGCGAAGAATCCATAAGAAGCTGATAGTCGCTCAGCTTGTCAACATTTCGGATGAACGTACTGCCTCCAGAAGATGGAGAACATGAAGTCTCATCTCAAAAATCATGATTTATTTAATATTACATTCATCGCATGAGATAGACTGAGACTTAAATTCACCGAATGGCATTTAGTTTCATTCCAGTTTATTCTGCTGTTGTGGTTATGTGTAGATAAATTCCCGTTAGATTGATAGTTTTACGAACAAGTTACTCCACAATCTGCAGAAATGAAAGATTTTAAAAGGAAGGAGTGAAAGAAATGGTTAACATTTGGTTAATAATCTTTGTTTTGTATCTTATATGCGTCATGTTTGTGTTTGATTAAATATATTTATTTGTACAGTCTATACACAAACGTTTGAAGTTTAATGGTGTTGTAAAAAATATATAATATTAAAACATTTGTTGTGTAAAATATTATATTAGCGCTCTTAATCGTAAATACGATTTTACATTATATTTTTTAGCGCTTTTATTAAAACGACATGTTTCGACGGGTAATACCGTCGTCTTCAGGTTTTTTACCAATTTTGAAATATTTTAAAAACTATTAGATACTTGATGCAATACACTATAATGATCCGTAGTTCTGTTTGTGGCTTTCCATTTTCATGGTAAGTTGCTTATTGTAGTCAGACGTTTTATTTATCTGTAGACTGTACAAATAAATATATTTAATAATCTTTGTATTTTCGTCTTTTATTAAAAATTATACTCAGATGCGCAGGACTGCAATTTTATGTTGTTTGCGTGGGTTTGAGATTCGGTCTCTTGTCTTAAGGTAAAATCGTACACTGAGGAGAAAATTTAGACTCGGAAGCAAAAGTAAGAGGAGGCAGGAGAAAATTACATTATGAGGAGCTTCATAATCTGCACTTTTCACCAAACAGTGACACTAGGGAGATCAGATCAAGGAGTATAAAATGTAACATCCATTATGAGATGAGAAATGCACACAAAATTTTAGTCAGAGAACCTGAAACGAGAGGACCTCCTTGCAGAACTAGGAACAGATTCGAAGATATTACTAAAAATATGCGAAAGAAATAAAGTGGTTCAAGACAACGTACAGCAAAGGGCTGTTGTTACCACGGTGAAGAACGTTATTGCTCTATGTAGAGGGAGACATATAGTGAGTGTTAGGTTCTCAAAGTACTCTGTTCCATAAAGTTAATCAATTAAAACAAATCAGGTTTTGAGAATGTGAAATATTGCAATCTCTTGAGGTTTAACTCGTAACAAAAGTTGCATCTCAGAAGACTACTTACGTATACTCTGGCTACTGCCTGCTATGGGGTATCCTTTCTGCATGTTGTAACGGGAGATTCCATTGGGCGGTTGCTGGTCGTAATCCGTCTCCATCATGTAGTAGGTCGCCATTTCCTCCTCGTCAGTTAACGAAGCAGAGCCTGTCGCGTCTGACGCCATCTTATGTATTGATGTACGTCGTTTGGTCATTTTGCCTGTCAGAGGTTAGGCAGCACATATATAATACCAACCAATAATCGCTAACCAATCAGCGATGCACTGCATTTCTCACGATAACAAAACACGTGTCTACGTTACAAACCGAACATCTGGTCAGTGGCGTCGACACAACTACATGCGCTATCAAATTACCTTTCTTATTTGTAATATTTCTGTCTGTCAAACCTCCACGATTTTGGCCGAGTTTCCGCAGACCTCGTCACCAGGAAGGAAAACCACATTCAGTGGTAATCCCGAGGGCTATCTTGCAAAGTACCTTGAGGATGACGATTTCCCTCATAACGTGGGAATACTACAAGTATGGGTCACCCACATTGTATGTAGATTGCCCTCCTCGCTGACGGAGGTGAAGGAGAGCTGTCTCTTTTGTGAATCTTGAAAGTCTACCTCCGTTTTAGTAACCGACACAAGAACGAATTGAAACTTAGTTCCTTCAAAATGAGAATAAATCATCTGTAAAAGTGTAATGTTCCATAAATGGTTTTGTTAAGATCCTGGCGCTTATGCAACGTCGAAAATGTTTGCATCATAAACTCGTCTAGCTACATAGTGTTGTGTTGTCATAGGAAAGATGAATGCATTTACGTTTATTGTGATCTCGTTTCTCCAGTATGCATACAGTGACCTTAGACAACCGAGTCTCAACTTTCGCATGCCATTTGTCAATTGTCGGAATTGTTATGCCAGCCATCGGGACAGATGAATCAATAAGAACCAGATCATGCCTCGCACAGGAAGCGATTGATGGCAAGTGATACGTAACAACTGTAGGAATGCGGTTAGATCCAAGAGATTTTTTATTCCTATGGCGCGTTCTCGTATTAGGCGTCGTGACTTATTTCACTGCATGTGCACATATGAACGCACAATAGGGAGATCATATCTGACTGTAGTACAGACTCAGTGTAAGAATGTTTCTTTTCAAACGCCGATGAAGGTTGAAATTAAGGTCTACACCAAAAAATGTTGGTGAAACTTTAAACCCCTAGACCAAAGTTGCACGAAGCTAAAATCGAACTTTTATGGTCTTTATAAATGTAGTTAATGGTAAATTAGTGCCTTAAATTAAGCCACGACACTTTCCTTCGATGTCAGTTCAGTTCATTAGTCATTAACCTTATATTATTCGACGATTCTTATGTAACCTGAGATACTGACAACGTCGTTAATTAACAAAAAATGAAGAAGTATCGTGACTGGAAGAAGCCTTTCGGTTCTGCACGTATGCCTTTCCGAAATGTTTTTATTTAACAGCATTGATCAGGCTTAGGCTAGTTTAAAACATCTGGCCATGATTCCATCAAGCAGGCATGACCTGGGGTGACGACTGCCGACTGATGCAGCTTTGACAATCTCGCCCCACTTGAAGATTGGCAAAATAATTAAGCAGGTTAACGAAATACACGGTTTTATGCGAAGCATTGGCTGAAAGTGGTTCACTGATGCGTACGTGCAAGTGTGCCAAAATAAAGGAAGTGTAAAAACGGCTGAAAATTAATTTTGAAACCACAAAATATCTAATAAAATTTGGTAACAATATACGTAGAATTATTTCTGTTAAGTTTTAAGCACCAGGATAAAAAGACGTGGATTAATAATTCCGCTTTATCTTGACTTCAGCATTAGATGGAAGCAAGTGATTAGCTTCACGTCTAGTCCGTTTTATCCCCAAGGAAGGCGCACAAGGTACCCATTGGATATTGTGGGTGGGTGGGTGTCTGGACTCGGTATCTAGGGGAATATCTCTTGCCGGGAATCGAACACCGACTATATTGCCCGCAGACTAACACAGCAAGAAATGGGGCGTGGAGTAGAATAATCTGGCTCGGGATAGGGATCAGTGGCGGGGCTCTTGTATACATGGCAATGAAATTTCGGTTTCCATAAAATGCGAGGAATTTCTGGATTTGCTAGCTTTTCAAGGACTCTGAGCTATGCATTTAGCTGATTGTGGAAGAAACAAGAAGTGCGTACAAATGTGGTCCGGAAAGCTGAACGGAGGGGAAGAAATGGGAGAAGTAGATGGGGCGATAATATTAAAGTGGACTTGTGTGGATTGAACTAACTTAGGGGTGGTTTTCAATGTCGTAGTTTTGTGTAGGCGAACACAACAACGATGAAGCTTGAGGTTTCGTAAAGAATAGGCAAAGTTCTTGACGGTTGCACAACACACCTGCTCAAAAAAGACTGTTCCTTGGATCTGGTCACTGGTAAGCAGGCCCTGCCAGTTGAAGGCCTAATTGCAGGATGACACCCGAGTTCACGTTTCGACATTAAGCGTTAGTAACGACGACGAAGATGAATGTACATGCAGCTGACAAAGTGGCCTAAAACCAATCGTCATCTCGCGGTTGGGTCGTGAGTTGTAAATCACTGCCGTTAGTTTCCTTTTGTTACGTACGTGAAATAACTAACTGTTATTTAAAAAATGCCACCGCCATGTCAGAGATAAATTTGTTTATAAATTTTGCACTCGAGGCAAAATATGAACAAAATTATTTCAGAACTCCATATTAACTGGCATGTACATTTATATTAAATTAGTTAATAAATGCTTTTGAGCAGTGAAAGGAAATATCAAGCTGCTAGAGGAAACAGCTTCATGTTTTTCACCAGATATCATTTGAATTATTAAATCAATGGCGATCTAATTGATAGGATATGCAGAACGCGTGGAAGAGATGAGTAATACATAAAAAGTTGTGATAGAGAAAACTGAAAGGAAGAAATCACTCTTTCGATGATGATGATGGAGGCAGTAAGCTCCTCTGAAACGTCAGTTAATATCTACCAGATTACACGGTATAATATCCCAGAAGACAGACATCTTCGTGTTTGACGTGAGATGGTTAAGAACGAAATGTGGTCTGTTTAGACAACAGACAATGTGATGTGACGTATGAACTGAAAAGAGGAATGCGGTAGCATGGAAGGGGAAAAAGGGAGGCGAGGAGACGTTGATGTGAAGGGACAGAAAGGAAATACAAAGGAAAAGGAAGGAGTACGAAATTGCAATTGTTAATTTTTTGTCGTTTTGTTTGTTTTCACCTTCTCGTGCCAACTCTTGTAATGGCTTTTGGCTGTTGAACACGTAAATCAATTAATTCAATAAAGAATTGAATTATTATTATTATTATTATTATTATTACTTCTTTTAGTACCAGTAATTCCTGTCACATTTCACAAGCTAAACGAAATCATTGCTTCAGATGAACTGATCATAATTCTACTAGTTCCGTTGAGAAGAATCATTACGAGGAGTTATTACGCAATCAGCTGTTAAAGAAACACCCCCCCCTCCCCCATAGAACAAATAGTATTTAAGATTCATTTTAATATTATCATCCTACATAGCCTATGCAGCAGTTATTTAAAATAGTTTCTTCTCTTTAGATTTTCCGATTGAAATTTTTACACGTTCGAATTTCTCATGTGTCCCGTTCAAGTAACGTGCGCTGTTCACCTCATCCTCTAATTATGTTGTGTTAAGAAATCTTTGTCGTGTATTTTTATTCATCCTAATTGTATTTACTCTTAGGTCCGAATATTTTCAGAGCCTTGTTCTCAGATAGCCTAGATCCACGCCCCTTTCCTTAAAATGAGAAACAGAATGTCACGGTCATAGAGAGAACTGGTAAAATGTTTTTTTTTTTTTTTTTTTTTTTTTTAGATTCTTAGATAATAAATAGGCCCATTAAATGTTGTGGTGAATAATAGTAAGCGTTTAACAAATTTAATGTTCTCTCGGTTTTATCGTGAATGTTATTTTGAACAGCCAGTGTTGTTATCTAACACTAGAACTTTTCAAAGTAATCAAAAGATTTAGCAGTTCTTTTTAATTATGGGGTTATTTAAAATACGGTTTCATTAGTCACGAAATTGATTGTCGCAGACTGAACTTAGTCAGACGTTAGGTTGTGAATTGAAGCAGCGAGTTCTCACGCTGAAGTACACTTACTTGTCTTTCTTCTGTGACAGACAAATATGACTGAAAGTTGGAACTGTGTTGTGGCCTAACTCATCTGTGTCATTATAATTAACTCCGTGTGGTCTTGACACATTTTACGCCCTCTCAGAAGGACGCGTTCAAGTCCTAAAGTATAGCAGCGTGTATTGGGAGAGAGATGATGAAAGGGGTTACAGCTGTAACCCAAACTGAACTGTCTGATGGATTTATTTTCTCGAATGCACTCATCATTATATCAAGGTTAAAGGTGTTTATTGCAGACGATGAAATGTAAATTCAGATTAATAAGCCGTTCTATTGAGTTAGAATGACAAATTACAACATGCACTGGTATAATTTATACTCCATTGGAAATAATTTATTGTTCAGTTGCGTTTGTGGATTAGCGTATCTTTCCTTGATAATGTTATTAAACGTAGAAAAACGACTACGATACAATGATACAAGAAATGAATACGAAGATAATGCCTCTAAAGGCCACTCTACCGTTGTATAGCCACTGGTAACAACATGGCGGCTCTGCGAATTTACATTTGAGCGGTACTATGATAATTTAATATATTGTAATAAATTATATATGACAATAGATTTTAGAAAAAAAACATGCAGATTTTTTAATGTTTTTTTAAGTTTTTGTTTTGTTTTCTTTAGAATTACAAGATGGAGGCTGTGGGAGTCTACATTTTGTCTTTGGTTTGACAGTGAAGGAATCATTGGAGACAGTATGTAAGTGAAAGTCTTTATAGAGATGCATTATAATGAAACACACATATTTTTATGAAACTCTTTTTTCTGTATGGTGACTGTGCGAATTTTTGAGGTTGTAACTTATCTGGGAAATTTAAAGTGGGCCCAGTACGAAATCTGTACTAGCGGAACTTGTAAGTGAAACGGATCTCTGAATCGTATAATTACTATAATTAGTATATTATTATAATGCTGTTGGCCTCATCATATGCACTAAAACATTTGAAGGGAAGTGGGTGTCTTCAGTTCATCCCAGAACTGCACAAAAAGACGGAAATAAAAATTCAAGGTGTTTTCTGTGGAATTAGTAGAAATAGAGGGGAATCATTAAGGAGCTTCATTGTTTCATGGAACCGTTTTAAGATTTTCTGGTCTAATGGGATTCTTAACGAAGACTGTGTATAACGCCAGGTGGAACAAATTCATGGCCTGTGTTCGCCGGACGTTTTCTACATGAAAATGTGGTTCTTTTGTGTCATTCTGCGGGGAAAAAATACACCGTTAACATGTGCTGTGTGGATGTTACGATCATCACAGAGAACTTTCTCTGAAGCAGATTGTCAGCCAAAAACTGCGATCCACTTCGTCGATAAGACTGCGGTAAATTATAATTCGTAATTTTGAGTTCTCACGTGCAAAAGTCTTATAATATACCATACTTCGACTAAGTTACTTCTTTGGTAACATTAAGAAAGTTCTTTTTGATTAAAAAGAGGCAATTTCTAGTTACTTAGTTTTATGTAAAGTAGCTATATTTACCAAGCATTAGTAACACTTTACTTTAGATGCCTTTCGTTGGCTTTGATCTATTAGACAGTTGGTAGGACTCCTTGGACGAGTGATCAGCCCGTCGCAAGGCCTCTACCTATTTACAGGACAGCAGAATACAGAGAGACGCGGACAAACATAAATGCCTTGAGTGGGATTCGAACCCACGGTCCCAGTGACACAAGGCCCACGCCTCAGACCGCGCGGCCACTGTGACGGCGACAAAAGGTTTAGAGTATTTATAAAGCCCCATGTGAGAGATGAAAAATTTATGTACGGTTTTAGTCGGAAAATATGAAGGGAAGAGACCACTTGGGAGAGCTAGGAGTAGATGGGAGGATAATATTAAAAGCTATCTAAAATAGAATGTGAGTATTTGTGGGTATCAACTGGCTCTGTATAGTAACTAGGCTGTGTGAAGCTGATAATGAACCTTCTGGTTTCATAAAACTCTTGGGATTTCTTAACAAACTGGGCGACTGTTAGCTTTTCGAGAAGGAATCTGCTCCGTGGAGTTATAAGAATCCTGTAAACTGCATCGATTTCCTGAACTTTAGGGAATTGACTCCAGTCTCTTTTGCCTAGCATGTGCAATCACACTAGTTTCTATGGTGACAGCTGTCATTAAAATGAGAGACATGTTCCAGCGGCAGATATCTGTATATCGCGGAGGCAGGTACAATTATTATAATTTTACGTAAATCTGTGTTTTAATTAGCTTCGACTTCATGGATCTAAAATAATAATAATCAAAACCGCGAGTACAATTTGCACACAAAACGTCTAGGGCGATGAAAATAAACTGTTCTAGTGAAAGACCCAATTATCCACTTTCTTTAACCTCACTTGTAATAAATTTTCTCCTCTTAGAGATTTTGCTTTGTCGAGAGGTCTTAATTATCTGTAGTTTATAAAGAAAAAGTCCCATATTGATACTGACGAGACAGCTGTAAGAAGAAATGCCAATAATCCCAGTGCTTGAACTTCGGATCTTCCGATTGAAGACTTTCCGATCAGACGCTTAAAAAGTTTGCAAGTGAATTACGAAACATGAATTGTAATTTAACCTGAGATCAAGTACATTATCTTATCTATATCCATACAATTAAGTAATGCATAGTTAAGTGTGATAAAGTTACATATAATCCACTACAGACAAAGCACAGACATGCGCTCATAAACTTGGTCTCCTTGGCTGGAATGCAGCGCTGTGTGGAAAACACTCTCTCTACAGCCCTGAAGATGGAGATAGTATATTTCTCCGAAACGTTTGCTTTTATCTACATGTCCACACGGCGTTGCATCCCAGAAGGCACCTACATCTCCACCGCCATGAAAACCTCAAATCTCACGGTGGTCTAGCGATTAGAACGCTGGCCTTGTAATCCTGGGGGTCTCTGGTTCGAGTCCCGGCGGTGCCCGAATTTATAACTTGTGTTGGGCAAGGCCGTGGTCTAGGCAACACGGAGTTTTCCTTCGTGGCATCCCAACAATTACTCCATTCACACACAGAAGAAGGCAATGGCAAACCACTTCTGGATCATCTGCCAAGAACGTATATGAACAGGTCCCAGTCCGAGAAAAGGATGGAAGGATCCTGTTCATATGGACCTGTCGTCAGACAGAACACTAAAATAAATAAATAAAATAACTTAAATAAGACAAAAGAAACCCAAGTCTTCCAAAACTTCTTTTCAGTTAGAGATACATTCATCGGGATCATTTATCGCATTTATTAAGCATCATGCTAGCATTTTTACACACGCGCAGTGCACCATTGAACACTTTTCTGCATTTATATTCTTGAGTGAATGTAATCATGAAACTAGGTCCAATCCAAGCAGTAATGTCTTGCTTTGATGGTGAAGGTGGTGGTGTCTGTGATGGCTGTTACTAATTGGTGGTGGTACGGGTGTTAGGGCGATGCTGATGGTGAGTGATAGTGGTTTGTATGGCAGCAATAGGCTTATTGTTGGTCGGGGTTTTTGTTTCTAATAGCTTTAAGAAAATTACCCTATGAGAAATAATGTTATACTTAAAATAAATCTTTGAAAAATGTGGACTAAGTTTTACAAAAGCTATTCTCGAAGACTCATGAGCCAACATTTGAAGATGACCGACTATCTTCTGAACTGTTGCGCCGTGTAGAAGTTTACTGACGTTTCAGAGGTATATCTGCTTTCTCCATAATCAGTCAATGTTAATTTTTGTTTGATTTACGATAGTATTAAACACAATTTATTTTACGTATTGTGTTGTGAAACTGGAAACTCAGGTCACGGCTTTTGCTGTCTTAAGCCACTCTCAGCCTAATGGAAATGTCAATTAATGTGAAGATTAATCGGGCAATCAGGAAAAGAGCTTTCAAAATTGGTGTACATATAATTTTGGAAAACAGTTCACGATAAGCATAGTGAATTGTGGTTGACAATGTTGACCAATAATCCAAATATGACATGCTTGTTATAAGTACAGTACTCTGTCATGAAAATCTTACATTCTCACACGCCTAATCGCCCGAGAACATTTTATAACATCCAGTCGCCGTGAATGTATCAGATATAATGAATTTCCAACGTTTCGAAGACTGTCTCTGCCTCTGTCATCAGGGGGTGAAATTTCGGGTTCCTTGAAAATATATTCTATGAAAGCTAACGTAGTTAGTTAGAGATATAGTCAGTAAATGAAATTGTAATCGAGTGTTGTGGTTACACGGGCAGAAGTGATACTGGAGGCACTGTGTGTTCTTTCCTTAGTTAACTTTACTATTGCACAAGATTGTTGTTTGTTACTGCCGTTCCGACATTTTTGAAGATTTTGTTATAATTATATGCAATAAAACGAAAAGCAAATCGAACTTCTGTCGCCATTAAGTGCGAAGAAACGTTTGCTAATTATTTATATATATATGGCATACGGTAAGGTCTCTTGTATGCATTAAAATCCGGAACAAATTTGTAGGTTTGTGCGTGTTTGCACATAACACATATTTACGTATGCACTATGTATGAGTGTTATTGGAGATAAAACACTGACCGTCATCATAAATGTGTACTTTAATGGCTAATTATCTACCGCGTAGTGGTCGGTTCCACTAGAACCCACATAATTAAACCGAAAACTTGTATCTTGAACGTTACTTTGACTTCAAAAACTCTTCTTGTGCTGCAATCATTTCTCCGCGTGTTATTCCAGTAGATACGTGCACAAAATGCTGGATGTTATCAAATTATATCAGTAAGTTTGATTTCACTCAGTCCTGACTTACCTCTTTCCAAAGTGAACCAATTTCTCAAATTGTGTCTCAGCTCTCGCCAATATCAGCAGCGAACTGAATGACCAACACTCTTCGTGTCTCCGTGTTCTTCGCGAACACTTTCTCTGTCTCTCTCTCTCTCTCTCTCTCTCTCTCTCTCTCTCTCTCTCTCTCTTTCTCGTGGCACTACAGCCAATGGGTGAAAAGAAGGAAATGATAATGCGACAATATACACTGATAGAGCAGGAGAACACAGTGTTGACCTTAATACTTGGGGTGGCGATGACGGGCAGAGGGAGAGATGTAGACTACGCTACATTAAACGTAATTTGTGCCCAAGTCTACACAAGCTTGCACTTCCGAAACTGACATTTCGAAGGCCAGCAAGTTACAGAAAGCAAAACGAATTGTGGAGATCCGGTATGCAGGGGATTTCTGCTAGCTGTGAGGGCGATCAGAGCCTGTGGAGGGGAGTGAAATAATGACACCTGGTGCTCCTCTTTTCCTCAGCAACAGACGTCACGGTTGAGCAAAGCGCGTGACAGATTTCATGCGATTCTCCACCAGAAGTGACCAGGTTTGTTCCAGTGGGAGAACATGAATTTTGCTGTCTTCTGGGTTGCAAGGCCCCTGACGCAGCTGCTAATGTCCACCAGGTCACCCAGAATATGGCTGACTGCGACCCCCACAGAATTACTACCACGGGTTCTTTGCTCGGTGCCATCACTCGCAACTGCGTCATAAAGGAGACACAAATTGCATGTGGTTTCAGACTTACGGAACATCCTGTGTATTTTATGTCTTGAAAAGATCTCTAAGAAGAGACGTTTTTGAGAAAGTATATGTAACATTATAGCCACGGTGGTCTAGCGGTTAGAACGCTGGCCTTGTAATCCTGGGGTCTCGGGTTCGATTCCCGGCGGTGCCCGAATTTATAACTTGTGTTGGGCAAGGC